ATTTTGGATGGGAGCGTCGGTCACCAGCCCCTGCGCCAGAAAGATGGAGAAGAGGAGTTCGCATTCACTTTCAAGAGCAAGCCGGCCAGATATGCAGAGTCAGGCATGGAGATTTGGAAGGCTTGCAAGTCTTCAACGCCCCTATCACAGCAAACTGCATGTTTGACAGCACTTGAAGCTTCGGGCTCAGAAGAAAGGGCGCCTAGATGCCGGCCAAGGCCAAGTGGAACAACTATGCGCACAAGCTGATCAACCGACGTGAGACAACGGCCAACACATATGCCCGAAAATCTCTACTGGGCCGCTTCAATGAAAAGGTATGCTCCACGGCAACTTACGACGGCGGGTGCATCAGGCGGGCCTCCGAAATCCCCCAGCTCCGTTTGATGAACGGCTTGCCCCTCGCGCTGCGTTCTCGAGGGCCTCAGTGCCCCCACAGCTTGGAGATGAGCTGCCGCAGCCGCTCGACCGGCCTCCCGAGCCGCCTCGTCCATTGGGACAGAGTTTGATTCCGCCCGTTTGCTGTGGAAGCAATAGAAGAATTCGGGTCAGCACGGGGGTTTCTGCAGCAGTCGACAAGAACGGTCGGACTGCTGCTGTGTTCAAAACCATCACAAAATCCGGAGCTGTCTCAGTGATGAATCCCGCCTCAATCTAAAAGAGTGCCCTTGCTGTGTGCAATAGTCAGGAAGCACCACCTATTTGCAGAAGAATCACTTTTGTGCGAAAAAGAGTGGAGACAAGCGATACTGGGCCGACGAGCTCACCGTCGCTTTTTCTGAGCCGGCCGACCAGTCTTTGGCGCCGCAGACGTCGACGCCCTTGCTTCGCCGCCCTCGTTCTGTACCTGAAGGCGAACGGATTGGCAAACGGGTCAGATTGGTAAACGGAGAGCATCCGCAATCGTTGCAGTCAGACCGCTGCTGGTCTGTGTGATAGGCTGGAATTCAGGAAAGTGAAAGCAGGTTGTAGCCCACTTGGGCTGGCCGCCGTGATTTAAAACCGCGATGCCAAGAGCCAGCCCATGAAGCAATGGACATGAGGGCATGCGAGTGGTACATTTCTGGCGAGCTTGGCAACATGTGCGCACAGTGGTTTTCCGACAGATTCAGGTAAACTCACCATTAACCCAATGTCTCCAGCAGATGGCGCCGCCGTCGACTCCATAGCAGCCCTCGTCCGGGGCACGTCATGCAGCGGGAGATCCGCTTGCGCCCGGGGTTCTCCTCCAGGAGGCACCTGGTCACAAGCAGCAAGCAAATGATAAAATCTGTCAGGATCCCGCGAGACAGTCAAGCACGTCAAGGTCAGCTTGTAAGCAATGTCAAGCCAAAGCACAATAGTACCCTTTCATCTGTGACGCAACTCACTCCTCGAGGGCTCATCCGCTTCAAATAAGCTTCACCAGAACTCTGTACGTTCCAGACCTGCAGTTATTTCAGGTGACGTAAGGCAAGGTTTGAGATGGGCGGAGGCATCCCTACCCCTTCGAGGGAAGCATTGGGATGTGCGGCTCCGGGACTGGACTCACGTTCTTGGGCCTCGACATCGTCGCTGCAGTGGCAAGAAGCTGTCGGTTGAGCCTTGGTCTCACAATTTTGTGAAAGCGTGTGCAAAGACAAATGACACGGTTCAAGACCCCAACGTAAAAGCATGCGCGTCCGAGTCAGAAACGCAAAAGAAAATTGATTTCTTGCTCTACCAAAACCTTTCTCGAATTGCAGCTACTTCAAAAGATGCAGTGCACTGTTAGGCAATGATAGAGAGGGCCTCACGTTTCCGAGGCCTCCAAATCTGGCAGATTCATAGCAGAATCGTGTTGCGTCGTTGGAGAGGGCGGGCCACACATCTCCTCTTCCTCTCGGGCAGCCCATGCAGCTCTCCGCTGTTCGCAGTCTGCAAAGAACGCGGCGACCACTCGCTCCTTCCTGGCCTTGCGCCCGTTGCGCCGGCTGCCCGCACCTCGCTCGGACGTTTCACCGAGGTCTTCCTCCAGCTCTCCTGCTTCCCTGGATATCGGAGACAAGGAGAATAGGAATGGAGTTGGCTTATGCTCTACTGGATTCTTGAGTCGTTCTAATGCGCAACGCAAGCACTGAATAGCCCTGCTATGGACATCAACACGCACAGCTTCTATCAAAGCAATTTACGAGGAATGATGCGCGAGCTCGTGTGCAAAGCGTGTGGCACAGAGGGAGAAGCTTACCGTGCGCGAGCATCAGGAGCTGGTTCGTCCACGTTCTCTGCAGCATGGTCCACTTGGGCTCTGCTGACAAGTTCTGAGACCTTGAAGAGTCTCCTCATCCTCCCCCCCGACGGTCCTGCTTGTGGGAGCACCTGCACCATGCCCCTAATCAGGAAAGTGGATGATCATTTTAGGCCCAGCTGACCAGCCTACCTGAAGCAACGACCAAAACTTGTAAGATGACAAAAACAGGTGACGCCTCGAGACTGAACTGGTTATTGCGGATGAGGTATTGCAGGACGCTGGCCATCTTCGCTGCTTGCGGCCGTTGTCTCGGCTTGGAACAAGCAAAAGGAAGAAGGCCCGGGTCAACCTGAGCGCTCCTTCTGGTCATGAAGCGCAGCGTGAGAAACTATCCAACTCGTGAAGGTTCAAGTGCTGAAGAAGAAGGGGGGAGGGGAGGGGGCTCTTACCTGCTCCAGCGGCCTCTTTGTGCCCACACAGGATGCACGCAAATCCATCCGCACCTCCGCATGTGCGGTTAGGGCTTCAGGGGCGTCGTTGGCGTCACAAGCAATGGTCGCGGCCTGCAAGCAGAGATAGGAAGTCACCTTCTGGAGCTTTCATGATCCGGCGGCCCCTGCCTTGCAAGCATTTGTTCAATGATCTGAAGCGGCCTGATAACATACGTACGCTTTGAAGAGAGCGATCATGCAGGGGGTGGGTCAAGTGAGGTACGATGGCGTGCGCGGGGCCAGTCAATCTGCTCGCATCAAAACTTCAAGGTCGTAGGAGGGAGAGCGAGATGCGTGGGCTGTCAATCTGCACCTCAGGTTCTATACAGTCGATTCTTGACGGCAGTGCAAATTGACTCGACCCCTTTCCTCTTGACTTCTCAGTGCCCAGAAAGCCCTTGGACAGAGGCTGTCAATTTGCACCTCGGGTTCTATACAGTCGATTCTTCACCCTAGTGCAAATTGACTCAACCCAATAAACCTGTCAATCTGCACCTCTTGTTCTATACAGTCAAGATTGTGAGAAGGTGCGGATTGTCGGGTAAGATTTTCAAGCCAAAGCAAAGTGATCACTCTGCGCGCTAATCTGAATCAGCACACAGCATCGTTGGCAATCAGTCCACGTGGCTGGGGGCAGTCAATCAGCATTGACTTTGATACCATTGACATTTCGGATTGGTGCAATTGCAACCTCGATATCCAAAGCCTCCAAATCTGTCCGGAGCCCACTTCTAACATGCTATGTGTGTCCTTGATTTCCGTGACAATTGCCCGCTGGGCCTGGTCAACTGGTTCCGACACAGCAACGGTCCGACGCAGTTGACTGAAACACGTCAAAGGTTGCTCACATCATGAGGATGCGGTGCTCCAGCGACGCCGCCGTCAGATGCTGGTGTGTTTCCTCCTGATGCTGAAAGACGCTCTCCTTCCGGGCTGGCTTCGATTGACGATGGTCCCGGGTTGCTCTCGATTCCACCCATGATCAAGAGCTTTGCTGCAAAGGGTCAGCCGGACGGCATAAGCTGTTGACGTAGATAGGCAGACCTTCATTCACGACCGTGACAATCAACCGAGACTCAGAGGAGCAAGAGCAGGCGCCTATATAAGGGCGGACTTTTGAAGGGTCAAGGCTCAAGCTGCCGTCTTGAGCTTCAAACGCCATCTTGCGCACAAGTTGAGGCCTTTTCTGAACCGCGGCCCAACGTCAAGTTTCAGCAGATGCTTAGCACAACACTTATGGTTCGGGGGCCAGATGTGAGCCGAGTCTCATCGCCCAATTTGATGATCCGGAGCGACTTACCTATCAGGTGTCTGCTTTTGGGTGTTGCATCCCCCCAGTATCCGCTTTCATGCCATCCGTCACAATCTGTGGAGGGAAAGGAAAGTGATTATCTTCTGCATGCTAGTAAAAAGGTCGCATCGAACTGGAGGTGTGAGCAAATAGCTCGAAAGCATTCAAGCTTGACGGGTGTTCGATTTCGACAAGGTTGAAACAGCTGCGTCAATAGAGGTCAGGTGCGACTTGAGGATAGCCTTGGCAAAGTGGAGTATCTTGTGCTGTCCGTTGAAATCAAAAGTCAAGGGCACGTTCTTCTGTACCAAACAAACCCTCACCCCAATTGCCCCTCAGCCGCGACTCTTCGTCAAGCGCTCGCGCCAGCTCTGCCTTCAACTTGTACTCTTCATAGTTACGTGCCCACTCTGAAAAAGGCAAGAAGCACAGGTCTTTGCGACGAGCGCTCACATGCAGGACACACAGACCTGCGGACGCCCGCCACCATGCCTACAAACTCTGTGCATACTTGCATGCTTGGGCCTGGTGCAGCTCTTGGCCGAGTAATCAAATGTCTTCTGAGCGCCATCACACGCTAGCACACCGGCAGTTGCACAGGGCTCACCTTCCCGGGTTCCCTCGATCTTGAAGCAGCCCGTGACCTCACGATGCACTCCGCAGAAGTACTTGAGGTTGCTCCCCTTGCCCCCGCGCACCGCACAGGTCGCGGGGTTGCTGCATTCTCCGCAGAGGAGGCTGTGTGGAACTGAAAAAGAAAGCACGAAGAGTTGGGAACAAAATCGAAACACGGGTGAAGCCCTCCAGTTGACTCATGTGGGCGTAGAGGCTTGCCATCTCGTATGCCTAGCCATACACACGAGAGCTCTGAGGTCCTGTACAGTTGCAGTCTCAAGGACCCTTAAGCAAAAGTGCTCCCCAAAGCCTTGAATCTGACTCCCGCAAAGGGCCGATCAGGTGCTTCGATCAGACTGGCCCGATCAAGGTGCCGCTCTCACCCTTGTCCCCAAAGAGGTAGCTGGCCAGTGGCTCCGGGCTCGCTTTCCTCGCCTTCCTGGATGCGCCGCCCGCTGGGGGCCGGGCCTTCTTTGTGGCTGCCGGGCTTGCAGCAGTCTTGCGAGCTTTACGGGAGGCGCTCGCTGGTCGCCGCAGCCCCTCCAGGTGGGCCTGCTTGCTCGACGTCAAGACCTTCTCGAAGCCCTGGTGCAGGGCCGCGTCTGCAGTGCCTGCGAACTCTTTGAGGCCCGACATCGCGGCATGCAGGCTCCCATCCCAGGCGGCCTTTGACCAGAGAAGGCCTGCACCACCGAGCTCCTCTCGAGCACGCCGGCACACGGCCCCCGCCACCTTTCGAAAGATGCGGTGGCCTCTCTTCGAGTTGGTGAGGAAGCCTCGCGACGCGCTCGCCATGAGCGCTCTGATGGCTGACGGCGGGAGAGCATCATTGCAGAATGTGCCACAAGTCTCCTGCAAGAAGAGGGAGATGCGTGGGCCCTCCTGACAAATTGCACCTCGGGTTCTGTACAGTCAACTTTTTCAGCC